ACGACACTTTCTTCTTGTTCTTCCCGGTAAGGAAACGAAGTCCCTGGAGGGCATTGGACTGTGTCCTGGAAAACTTTGCTTGCTTCGCTCGATCAAACTTGGTGGCCTTTGGAGAGTTGTGATTCCTGACAGTGCTGGCGAGACGAGTGAAAGCAGTCTTAACTTTGATGGCCGTGACCACAGTGGATCTCTTCTCGCCTCCACCCGAAGCAATGGACTCGGTGCGATGGAGAGGACGATCGCTAGACACTGAAACTCCATCGTCGTTGGCCATCTCGATCACCACCTTGGTGGCTTGATCGGGATCTTCGTCCCGCATCGTGTGACTGGAAAGAAAGAACGATCACAAAACTTCACAACCAAGAACCAAAGAAACAACGCACCACACAATTGTTTATCGCCTGGAGAAAAGTGAGCAGTGATCGAAGAAGATGCTTTCACATCACTCCTGCTCTAAAGTTTTTGTGGAGATCCGTGCGAGGTCCCATCTACATTTCATTCCATCGATAAGAATCCATGCTATGAATCAGCCGCAAGAAATAAAAAATAAAAAATAGTTTTTCACCAACAGAGAAAACAAACTCTACTCACATGTTTCGTAGCGAACACCGCCAAAGCCACAGTGAAAAGATGTACGAAGAAATGCTAGTGCCAGTGTTGCCAGAGAGAGCTACCAAGAACGAGCAATCGCGGCCATTGAATCGCCCAAGGCAAGAACTCCCGCCCTTTGACCTCGATCGTCTTGCTGCTCGCCACAATCGCTGACCAAGCCTTCCGCCAAAGCTGCGATGATTCGCCCTCTTGCGTTTGTACAAAGAATGGAATTTACATCCCATCCTCGCGAAGGAGGCGAAGAATATATTTTACGAAAGAAGAAGGCACGAGGAACTCCACTGACTAGAACACAATCGAGCGGCTGCAATCTTGCCACGCCACCGGACGCATCGAATCGACGGCTCACGGCCATACTCCACGATCATGGATCGTGCCGAGCACTGAATCGTAGAAAAAGCGCAAAATTCATGCCTGGTGTGGCCCCATGCTCGTAGAATGGTTTTTCAAGAACAGTTTCAATCTTCACAGTTGCCATACTTTTAAGAAAATCAATCCTGTCGCATGTGAGGATCGTGGGCGATGCAACATTCCACCAAATCCTTACGTGTATACCACTTGTTCTTGTCAAATCCACTCGGGAATATCACTTGGATTGCGAAAACCTTTAGAAAAACTTTGTTGTTGATCCAGGAACTTACTTGGATCTAGAAGGAAATTTGTGAAAGAGATTTGGCTAGCTTCACTAGAGCGTCTCCACGATTCGGACCTGCTTTAGCCGCTCTTGCATCAGTGTTTCCGATGCGTTGCTCGCGGTAGCGACGAGCAACTGGTCTTGCTCGTTCTCGATCTCGGCTTTGCCGCCGCTGGGATGTTGCGGTGTCTCGAGGCACAAATCTAGCGAGCAAAACAAAAGCACTCGTTAAGAAGAGAATAAAATAGAGGAATTCAACGACCAAAGTCAAGTCTGGATGGAGACAAACACTTGATGACCAAGGCAAAAGGTAAAAACAAGAAATACCGGAAAACCGATGATCCGAAGAGCACGAAAGGAGAAGCAAACGTAACAAGCACAAACGTACCTTCACACGAATGGTACTCGGGAGTTTTCTTCACAGTCGTGTCCTGGAGGCTATCCGGGAGCAAACAATTACAAAGCTGGGCTGCGAAGTAACAAAGCACGAGTGTGAGTTTTCCTTTCCTACGAAAGAACACCACTCACCCAGTCTTGCGAGCCTGTTTACCCAGCCTGGGATTGAGAGCCCCGTCAATCGCATGCACGCGTCGTTCGTGAAGTGATTGCAGTTCTTCACGATCAGGTGGTACGAGTCGCCATTGTAGTCATTCGCGAGACGTTCTATAAACTCCCGGAACTCTCCGGCACCAAGACGAGTGTTTCCCAAGCACACTGACTTTCGAAAAGTAAAACCTGGGCAAGTCCTCGGCTCTACTTCGAAAACACCACTAGACGGATAGTCGTGAGCTCCAAAGCCATATTCCACACCATGAGCTGGAAAAGCGATAAGAGAGAGAGAATGTAAGTTCCTATAGGCAGTGTCTGGGCGTGAAAAAGAAAACAAAAACTTACCTTCAATACCGGAATGGAAAATTCCCAAGCCAAACCAATAGAGGTAGCCATTCATCGGAGTGAGGTCGTAAATGTTTAGATAAATCGGATTCCTTTTGCCGGAGCGTTTCGTGAAAGACCCGGATAATCGCCTCATCTCTTTGCTGTCTCCTTCATTCACAGCCTGCGAAGACAAAGAAAGAAAGAATTAGTACCGTTTCAAGCCTCGCTGTTCTACAAATTTACATTTTTCCCAGCCACTACACCTGAACAATCGATTGTCTGTTCGGGCTGCCGTCCATACCGACAGGAGGAAGAAGAAAAACAAAGCTAGGGAACCCAAATCCAAGGCATTCTACGAATCACCCCCAAAGAACTAAATCCTGTGAACAAAGAAGCGCCAAGGGAAATGCGAGAGGCTTACCCGGAGCTATGAATTGCCAAGCGCCCGCCCTGTTCCTCAGCGTCGGCCCGCATTCGCTGTCCCGCAAAAGCCAAAATGGCAAAAAGGAAAAAAAAACTAGGAACCCTAGCTGGCGGAGAATATCTGTTGATTAAAAGCCAGAATATTCTGGTGCCTGCCATGAAGGGGAAAAGGAGTTAAAAAGAACGTAGTTTTCACTACTTACCTCTTTGATGGAACGAATAATTTGCGTCCCTGCAATGCAACCAAGAAGCACGCGAGCCTACAGGATGAAATTAAAAAAAATGTACCTTTGATTCTTCGTGATGTTTTTTCCCGATCTTTTTTCCGAGAAGAACCTTCTGTGATTCGAGAGAGACTTAGCCTGTTCTCGAGGGCCTCCTGTCGCTGAGAAAAATTCTCTTGAAGATAGATGGCCGCGGCTTGTGCTCCATATCCATGAACACATCTCTGTCGTTGGCATATCGTCTCCCCCAAGGCCGGAGTTTCTTGTACAAGCCTCCGAGAAGCCTCTTCTGGCACCTCACTACTGTTCCCTGTGAGAGAGACGACTCCCCGAGATCGACTATGCTCTTGCCTTGATCCACTGCGTCGAGCTTCCAGTCCTCTACACTAGCAGCCGGCTTGTCCACGAGTGCTGCTGGAGCCATTGGAGCATCCAAAACGTCACCGAGATGGAGAGCTTCCATCAGTCCCGGCTTAACCAGGTAGCCTTCCAGAGCCGGAGCCACCTTAAGCGTCGTGGAGCTGTTTGCTAGAGATCCAACGCCTGCTGCTGCCTGGACTATCTTCGAGGGAGGCTCGAGAATGGAAATGGCTACGTGAAGCAAGCCTTTCCTTACGTCTCGCAGCTTTAACCACATGTCGTGCCTGTCTCCACCTCGTAAGTGTATCAAGTCGAGCTCGTACCACCCCTGGGATCGATCACAAGAACACCATGAAGATTAATCTCCGAGCTAGAAAAAGAAAAGACTTACGAGCTCATCGTCTTTCCCAAACTTGTCTCGGTCCCGAACACGGAAATGACTCCCGGAAGGCAAATTCCAGCTGATTATCCTCACCCGGAATAGCTCGTGCCATGAGGGATTGAGCGTCTGCTTCTTCACAGAAGTCGTAAACTTTAGCTTGCCCATTTTTATCTT